AATACTTTGATACTCTATTGAGCTCCCTAATGTTCTCCGCCTTCCTTTCTCCTCCTTGCTCTCATTGTGTAAACTCTTTGATAGGTAGAAGCTACATGCCCCCTTCCCCTTTGCTCTTCCACAGATGTCACTGTTGCAGCCCAGCTGTGGATCCCTCCCCCTTTACCTTGGAGACAATTATGTCTTTAGTGCTGGAAATCCTTGGTCCTGATGTCACTATGAGAAAACAGTGAACAGTTGGGTGGGAGGAGAGAAAAGCAGGAGAGTATGTGGAGCTTTTGCCTAGCTTCTTTTGCCACCTTGATGTTATAAAGTGTGTACCAGACAGCCACAGGTCAGACTGGCAACTCTGCTGTATCTCCCAGCGTACTGCTGGTACCCAGTGAGCTGAAACGGGAGAATCACACACACACACACACACACACACACACACACACACACACGATAATGAAGTGGAAGGAAGGGTTCGGCTGGGATCTACTGTGAACACACCAGCTTCTTTGCTAAGCCTAACTCTGTGCAGCAGGCTTTGCTTCAGCTAGCAACTGTAATTGTTCTGTACAGCAACGTGTCCTTGGCTAAAAGTCCCTTAGTGTTATCTGTTGCTGCTAACTGATCTACCAAGGGCTGGTGGCTGTGTTTCAGAGGGGCTGGAGAAAGCACTTTGGCCAGGTTTAAGACGAATTAGCCTCTATGCTGATGGTGCATGGAGATAACCTATTATTCCCTTTCTTGCTTGGCCCCCTTACTGTGTTTTTCCTATGGGGAGTACATGAGCTGACATATGTGTCCTGGTTCCTAATGCTTACTTTGAGAATCTTGACAGTGGTGTGTGAGGATATTTTTATCCTTTTCCATAGGTAATGTAGGAAAAAGAAGGACTATAAAAAGCCCTTGTCATCTATATAGATCCCTGGGCATCTGGGAACAACTGAGATCTAGCATAATACTTGAACAAGGTGGCATTGGGAGAGGGAGGCTTGCTTGGCCCCAGTTTGCCTCTGGGCTATGGAAGGAAGGGTGAGAGAAATTAATCTTCTACTTGTTGACAGAGTTTAAATATGCAAAGGAAGTGGAGCACTGAGTGTTTAGAGAAAAATAAGTAGGTTTATTTAAAGAACAAACTGTTATAGAACACAGAAGAGAGAGGGAGCCTTTACTGTCTAGCCTAACTGCTGTGAGAGAAACAACAAGAAGAAGGAAGCTCTGCAGGAGCTGGAAGTCTCCAGAAGAGCCAATCAGGAGACAGCAAGGACATAATTTGAAACTGTGGGCATTCCCTAATCTAGCTGTGCTAACTACCAGTCCTTCAGCTGTCCACCTGTAGGGTGATCTTGAGATCTTCTTCATAAGGTTGCACTATAGCCCTTGCATATTCCAACACTACTTTCTTTCAGTACATAGAACCAGGCTTCCTGCTTTATTTTAAAGGGGAAACTACATTCTTAATAGGGCTGCCATTCTCCCAGGGGGGCAGGGGTTTGCTTGCTTTTAGGGCGCCTGATCTGCTGGCCCAGATCTGGTCAGCAGGGGGAAACCCACCCCCAAAGTGCCACGTTTGGGCCAACATGCCCAGCGCAATGATGTCACCCAGAGAGAACGTCATCACGCAGGGCACGTTGTGGGAGGACGCTCTATCATTTAAGGAAAAACTCTATGGTTTTTCCTCAAATGATCGACGCCCCGCCCACAACATGCCCTGCATGATGACATCACTGCAGCGCGTGCAGTTCACACTTGCACCAAAGATCTCCCAGCAAGGAAGAAGACCCCTGCTGGCAGCCAGGTAACACCTGGCGACCCTAATTCTTAAAGGTTTATCATAGTGGCCTTTATCATTCTCTGTTTACACTGGCTGGTTAACCCTTCTGTCAGAATCATTGGAAGTCTCCACCAGGCAAAGCTTCTGCTCCTTTTATCTCAACAGATGAAACTTATCAGGAAGAGTGCTAGAGGTTCTATAATCAAAGGTTGGTTCTCCAAACCTGGATTCAGCTCCATTCCTGATGAACTGGTGGTATTATGGCTGAAAGGTACACATGATAAAAACACAGCTAAATATCTTTACTATACATTTGGATTAAATTTGCAGGCATTACTGAAAAATTAAGGCCAAATATAGCATTATTTATGAATTTTGCAAACTTTGTTTGCAGCATCTTAAACCAAATTACATCCTAAAGAAACAGAGATATCAAAGAGCTAGAAATGTGATGGCTGGGTTTTGCTGGACATTGTTGTAGTGGATGATGGCGGCGGTGGTCTATTAATTTTAAAATGTTGTGGTCTCTTTCCGATTTTTAAATGTACATTTCTCAAGAAGCCAGTATATTCTGGTTAGATAGAGGAGGAGGTGTGAAGGAGGTAACATTGTACATTGCTCAAGGAAGGGCACTGAGTGCTCTTACTGTGAGGTGCGAATGTAGGCATTAAGTTGAGAGGGGTTTCCCAGCAGGCCTGAGAAGGAGGAGTGGATATAGCAGGGGAACAAGGCATTGTTTCCTGGGTGAAACTAAGGCCACATCATGCATGACTGTTATGCACACAAAGATGATTTCTGTGTAAGAAAAATGTGTTCTCCTTTACTTCTGCCCTGAGTGATTTACTGAGTGTGCATCTGTGACAGACTGCACTTCGGAAGCTCAAAAGTGCTGTGTAAACTGGTAATGGACTACGAAGGGTTAATTCCTCACACAGCCAAAGAGCTTTGAGTGAGAGGTTGCTCCAAGGAAGTTGATTGGTTAGCATTAGTTGAGCAGAGAAAGACTTGAGAGCTGAATATAGAGGAGAATTCAGTCTGACTCTAGCCCTGATGGAGAAGAGTTGGGTGCTGATGGAGTCAAAATTCATGAGCAGAGAAAGACTTGAGAGCTGAATATGGAGGAGAATTCAGTCTGAGTCTAGCCCAGATGGATAAGAGTTGGGTGCTGATGGAGTCGGAATTCAGCCCTGGCTGAGAAGAGTCTAGTACTGATAAGTCTGGGTCTAGCCCTGACAAGGAAGGGTTTAGTGCTTAGCCCTGACTGAGAGCAGTTTAACACAGATGGAGTGCTGGGAAGGTTGGCAATAGGAGTGGGTAGTTAGGTGAAGACTCCCATTCAGGCCAAAAAAGGGGATGGATCTTCCAGTAAGAGAAGAATTTCCCTACCAGTTAAAACAGGAAGATAGCTCTGAAGAGTGGAGAGATCCCTGGTCTGGTGTGTTTAGAAACTGTCTTTTAAATCCTGAGGAGTCAGTTGAAACTCAAGAAGAGTACTAGTGTGTTTAGTGAATGAGTTTGGGTACTGGACCAAGTTTCCCTGCCTTCTGGAAACCAAAAGAGCCAAATATGCTCAAGAAGGTATACTGAACTGTTTGGGAAACACTGAAACAAAAGTTTCTCATTTTAAAGATTCTAAATCACTGTGAAAAGTTTAAGAAATTCTCAGTTGCTTGAAACATATGAACATCAACATAAAACATATTGATTTATCTCAGAAATTTTATCCCTGATTTCACCTGCCCTTTCCCCTCTATGTTGAATAGAATATTTTGTTATTTTTGAACTTTTAAAAAGGCTTGAACGCCATTTAAGTTGTTTAGGAGGAAACTCAACCTTTCCCTCAGGTTCCTGGGCTGAGCCAGCAGCAAAATTTCATACTGTGACAGGGTGGGACAGCCATAGATCAGAAAAGCAGAAAATCATTAAATAGGGCTCCTCTGTCTGAAAGGGAGAGAAAAATGGCGGGAAAATCTTGCCTCTGAGGGAGGGAAGTGGGAGAGGTCATCATAGCATCATTTTCTCAATCCATATATATATTATGGCTAAATAGACAATTTTTTTTAAAAAATGCCAGAGATTATATACAATGGTACATGCCCTGGTGATATCTAGATTAGAGTACTGTGATGTGCTCTACATGGGGCTGCCCTTGAAGAGTGTCTGGGAGCTACAGTTGGTACAGAATGCTACAGAAAGAATGCTGACTGGCATGGGTCATAGTGGCCATATCATTCCCATCTTGTTTCATCAACACTGGCTTCCAGTTTGCTTCTGGGTCCAATTCACAGTGCTGGTATAGAACTTTAAAGTCCTATGCAGCTTGAGGCCAGCATACTCTAAAGATGGCATACTCCTGTATGAACCTACCTAACCCCCGCCATCTAAGGATAAATGAGTGGCAAACTGAGAAAGTCTTTCTTATTTATTTATTTATTTATTTGTCTCATTTATACCCCGCCCTCCCCGCAAAGCAGGCTCACGGTGGCTTCCACTCAACATAAATACAGTTAAAACATCATACAATCATATAAAATCCCCAACAGTTTAAACAGATACAGATTCACAAAGTGCTGATAGCAATTAAATAATTATCCAAGATGGCTCACTTTCAGAATAGATGCCAACTTCCCAGACATTGTGATTTCCTGCGGTGCCGGCTCGATGTCAAGACCAAGGGCCAGGACTCTATAGCAGTGGCGGCTCCCTAACTAAATGCCTGGTGGAAGAGCTCCATCTTGCAGGCCCTGCGGAATTGTAACAGATCCCGCAGGGCCCTGATCTCCTCTGGGAGCTCGTTCCACCAGGATGGGACCGCCACTGAAAAGGCGCTGGTAGTAGTCAGCCTGGCCTCCTTGGGGCCAGGGAGGGTCAGTCAATTTTGAGACCCCGACCGTAGTGCTCTCTGTGGTATATGTGGGGAAAGGCGATCCCGTAGGTATGTCGGACCCTGGCCATATAGGGCTTTAAAGGTAAGAACCAGCACCTTGAAGCGGATTTGGTATGCTATTGGCAGCCAGTGCAGTGTCCTCAGCACAGACTGGATGTGCTCCCACCTGGGGAGACCCATCAAGAGCCTAGCTGCAGCGTTCTGTACTAGCTGAAGCTTCCGAATCCGCAACAAGGGCAGCCCCATGTAGAGAGCATTACAGTAGTCTAATCTCAAGGTGACCATTGCATGAATCACTGTTGCTAGGTCGGCACGATCGAGGAAGGAAACCAACTGCCTGATAAACCAAAGATGGTAAAAGGCCGACCTAGCAGTGGCACCAGGTATGGCACCAAATTTATGAAATGCTCTCCACAGGGAGATCTATCGGTCCCCTCATTGTTTTTTGCAAGAGGGTAAAGATTTGAGTTTTGCCTAACATTCCCTCACTGGCTTTTAGTGATCCTTCTGTTTATGTGTTTTATTTTACTTGTTTTTCATCTCTCTATATATGTGTTTTTAACCTTGTTTTTATTGTTTGCTGCCTTGGGCACCCTAAGTTGGGTGGAAAGATGGGTTAACATCTTTATTATTTAAATAAATAAATGCTTATATCCTATATGTTAATGTATTAAAAATTGCTTCTGCAATTAATGGCTGATGCTTCAAAAACTCAGAAAAATTCATTCTCAAAAAAATCTTCTTAAGTACAGAATAAAAGCATAATGTTAGGAAAAGGATGAGCAAACAGAGGCCAGTGGGCCACATATGACGCCTTGAGGGGCAAAGCAAGAGACTGGGGGAATTGTGTTGAACTGTAGACAATATTTGTCTAGTGAGGGCTGAAAACCAGGAGATGCAAGTCACAGGAGATGCACGTCACAGCTCAGAGTCTGAGTCAGAAACCAGATTCCTGAGTCAGAAACCAGATTCAGGAGTCACACCAGCCATTGAAGTCAGACATAACAGGAATCGTTTCTGCTTGTGCAAAGGCCCCAACCTGAACAGGAAGTCTTTTTATTAACAAGCAGCCAGTGGCCAGTCTGGTGGGTAGAATCGTTCTGAAATCCTTTATTGCCTTGGGCACGCTCTGGCCCATGGCCCTATTGGCTCACCCTATTGGATGGCAGTAAAATGATCTATGTGGTTCTGGTTCTAGCCCAGGGATCTTCTGACCCTGAGGTGAGCCACTTTGAGGCAGGAATTCGGCCCTTTGATATTCTACCCCTCTCAAAATAGCCTCCAGGGAACCTTGTTGTCATCCAAGAAGTTAGAGCAAGTGAATACCACAATACAAAAGTAAGCAGTTCTGGCTCTCAGTGGTCACTGACACAGTAGCCTTAACTGTGCCCTTTGGTATATGAATCAAAATCTCTACAGTTTGAGAGGACCATCTGCCTAACAGTCATGTGAAAATAAAATATCGAGCTAAAATTCATGCTACGTAATTGGGAAAAGGTAATTAAAATACATTTTATACTATGATGGCCTTAGAAATATGGGTTGAAGGGCAGAGCCCTCGCCGAATAAAGGAAGGAGGAGGAAGAAATACAGTTAAAGGCAACTACATTTCCATGTTTCTGGGTGGTTGTCTAAATTCTTACTCTCTCGGGTTGCTCTCCCTCTGCCTGAGATTCAGCTGTGGGTTAGGGCTTGTCTTAGCCAAGCTGAGTTTTTGGGACCTGCTTCCCTGCCTTGTATTGTGTACTTGAACAGTTAGATACCCACTCCCACCTGTATGAAAGATACTGAGAGAACTTTTCTAGCCCTGAGTGCATCGTTAGTTCTTTCGTCTTTGTTCTTTGAATAGATATCATAGAATACAATAAACACAGGGCCTGGAAATATAAGAAAGAAGAGTTAAATGTCATGCACAGCTGCATTAGAGATTATATTAGGAGGAGGAACCTCAAGCAAATTTCCAGCTCTGAGACAATTATCTGAGCTTTTCCAGATCCTCCTCTTTGCATTGTGATCCTTTATAACTTCCTTAATTCAGCACACAGTGTCTGGTCCTACATCTTAAAATAGAGAACAAACATGACCTTAGAGTCATTTTGCAAATTCATGCTTCCAGCTAATGGATGAAGAGTGAAATTGCACATCTTCCTCTAAAAAGATGCATTTGCCAAGGTAATGAATGCAAAATGGAGGCTTCTCTGATGGAAAGACACTACATATCCCTTCTCCATAAAAATAACAATCAGTACAAGAAGACAAACTCCCCCTTATCCCATGAAATAGTATGTGCCCTTTTCTTGTTGGTTAGTCTCCTTTAATGAATAATCACATGGTTTTTGCCTTAACTAGGCTCACCCATGACATCAGCCTTGAAGAGTTTGAGGATGAAGATCTCTCTGAAATCACTGATGAATGTGGAATCAGCTTGCACTGTAAGGACAGTTTGGCTTCACGGGTAAGAACACCAGTATTTCCTTAATTATTGCCAGCCAAACTATTGCTCTCGTCCAAAAAGGCTGGAATAGATTATACTGACTGCAGTAGACCAATGGCAGCTCAGTGTGTTCACTTTTCCAGGTTATTTTAGATCTGGATACATCTAAATGTTTACGCTGTGACTGTAACCGGGATAACTTGTTTGTTGTCTCTATGATTTATGGTCAGTGGGGCCTGTGCAAACCTGAAGCAATGCTACTGCAATTCACTTTGTCTTGACTACACTTGGGGCAGAGTACCTGGGCTGAAAGGTAGCACAGGTGCCATTCTTTTTGACTGCTGCATTAATAAGCAAAGCTGGGTGTGCGTGAAGCTTTAAGCTGGGTTGGTTTCACCCTATGAAGTGAAACCAACCCATTTCCTAAATGTCTGGGAGATCCAAGGACACAAACTAATGACATCTTATATGGACGAAGAGGAAAAAGGAGGAGATTTGATAAGTGTAGGAGAATCCACATTGTCTTCAGATATGAAATATTAACCTCAGCTTTCTCACTAATTGACAGAACATAAGGTCTATATTATACTTAACACTGGATTATTTTGAAGATTCTTTGTTTTAAAGGGCCATCCTTTATTACAGAGCAAATCCCACAGAATAAAAGAGTTGTCCTGTATATACAAACTTAACATTCCCATTGGACATAAAGGGTGGTGTTTATTTTTTTATCTGGTTTCTAATATCCCTACTTGAAAATCAGATCATCTGCTCTGGCCCCTCTCCATAATCCCAGATGTGTGCACATGGTTATGGTCAGTCCGTGATGAGGAAAAGCACTCTGCACATGCTCCATCATATTCTCCTTTTTACCCTCTCTGTATGTTCCAGAGCTAGGCATCAAGATCAAAGAAAGCAGCATGACCCCTGCAAAAAAAGCCCTTTGTAAAGAAAGACAATATGATATCACCTTAAATTTCGTTGTACCATTTATTTGATTGTTGTTTAACTTCACCTTGTAATGGTTGGTTTTGCACAGAGCATCTTGTCTTAAATAAATACCTCCTTGTGTGACACCTGAGTTGGTAAAATTTATCACATGAAACTTTATGTATGTTTGGATGCACTTTAAATGAACCCACAGATACTGCCAGGTGACTTGTTAATGGTTCTTGGGGATGGACTACATGTTATACTTTTCCTGGGTTGCATGATCAGCAGGTGTGGTCTGGGATTTCTGTGCTTCCCAGGCATGTGGAGGGCTGGTTTTGTTGGAGACTGCAAGCAGAGGGCCTTAGAGGGCCTCTTCTTCCCCCGTGCTGTTTTCCTGCTCTGAAGTGAACCTAGGGAAGCTGCTCTTTGCTCTGTTGGGTAGTTAAGTTTCCCCAACAGGGTGGATAGTGGCTCCCTGGGGCCATGTAAGGTTGAGAAAATGGTGTGGGAGGGGAGAAGCTGTAAATCCCAGCATAGCTAGGGTTGCCAGCAGGCCTGGAGAAAAATGTTCTGTACATTTAACAGAGGTTCAATGGGTAGAAATGGGCAGCTAAGACTTTTCATGGCATGGAGGTAAATACAACTGCCTGATAAATAACTTCCCATTAAGCCTCTGTTAAGGGCTTTTCCCCTCCTCCAGACAGTTGGCACTCCTATGCACAGCCATGGTCCTGGTCCAAATTGGGCCCATATTTGCCAGGAAAGCAAGGAACTCCCAGACCACATCTGTTGACCTGACTTTGGGATGTATCCAGGAAAAGGATAAAAGGGTAATATGTATCTATTAAGAAGAACCCTGCTAGATGAGACCAGTGGTTCATCTAGTCCAGTATCCTGTCTCACACAGTGGCCTTCCCCTAATGTTGCCTTTTGGCACTGGGATTCAGAGGCTGACTGCCTCTGAGCATGGAGGTTCCCTTTAGTCACCATGGCTAGTAGCTACTGATAGACCTATTCTCCATGAATCTTAATCTCTTTTAAAACTTTCTATGCCTGTGGCCATCACTACATCCTCTGACAGCAGGTTCCACATTTTAGTAATTCACTGTGTAAAGAGTTATTGCTTTTTGTCCATCCTGAATCTAATGCCCATCAACTTCATTGGATGCCCTTGAGTTTTAGTATTTTGGGAGAGGGAGAAAAGGTTCTCTTTGTCAACTCCATCTGCCCCATGCATAATTTTATAAACATCTATCATGTC